GTGAACTACAACTCCCAGATTCCCAGGGCAATCACCCCCAAGCTCAGCCAGTATGCACAATTGGCCATGTTGGTTCTGTGTGCCAAGTTTGGTCCCGATCCATCGTTGGCTGAGTTCACTGTTCTCTAGGTAGGGGTGAACTACAACTCCCAGATTCCCAGGGCAATCACCCCCAAGCTCAGCCAGTATGCACAATTGGCCATGTTGGCTCTGTGTGCCAAGCTTGGTCCCAATCCATCGTTGGCTGAGTTCACTGTTCTCTAGATAAGGGTGAACTACAACTCTCAGGGTAATCACCCCTAAACTTTGCAAGTATGGTCAATTGCACATGGTGGGTCTGTGTGCCAAGTGAGTTCCAGGTCCATCATTGGTGCTGTTCAGAGTGCTCTTAGATTGCAGGTGAACTATGCATGCCAGTCCCTACAACTCCTATAAATCATTGTGAATTCTCTCCAAACCTCTCCAGTATGTTCAGTTGCTGATCAATTCCTCTGCTGTGTGCCAAAGTAAAGGGTTGGAACGGGATAAGGGAGAAGCAGTGGGTGGGGTCATGCAAATGAAGAGAGAAAGGAACACTGGGATGTGCTTGCTATAACCTGCAATGTCCTTCGAGAGAGTGACTTGCTGTCTTCTCAGCACTGGAAACAATAGCCTATTTGTGGAGGCTGGAGGCTGTCTGTGTGAACAGACACCTGTGCCACATACAGATTTTCACTTTTATTATGTGTATAGATATTATAATCCCATAGTGGGAGTTGTAGTTTACCCTACATCCAGAGAGCACACTGAACCCCACCAAACCCGCCCAGCATAACAAACTTTTAAGTCCTGATGGAGTTTTTCCAGGTTAACCTGGCATGATGGGAGTTGTAGTTCATCCCCAACTTTACTATTTATATATTTATTTATGACATTTATATTCCACCCTTCTCATCCCAAAGGGGATTTGGAGCGGCTTACAAGATATACACACACACACTCACACACACACACAATATATATTATATTATTAGCATAGTACAATACTGAATCCTGAGGAATCTGTGCAAGGACCAAGTAGCAACTGTCAGAACTGACCACGGAACAGGAGACGGGTTCAAGATTGGGAAAGGCGTACGGCAAGGCTGCATCCTCTCACCCAACCTTTTTAACTTGTATGCAGAACACATCATGCGAGGATGTGCGGGGCTGGATGAATGCAAAGCTGGGGTGAAAATGGCTGGAAGAAACATTAACAACCTCAGATATGCAGATGACACCACTCTGATGGCCGAAAGCGAGGAGGAGCTGAGGAGCCTTCTAATCAAGGTGATAGAAGAAAGCGCAAAAGCCGGGTTGCAGCTAAACATAAAAAAACAAGATTATGGCAACAAGAATGTATTGATATTATTTATTTTTTATATATTATATTTAATATATTATTATAATTTAAATATACAAATATATTATTTATTATATTAATTTTTATTTATTTATTTAAATTTATATATTAATTATATATATTTATTATTATTTTATATTTTATATATATTATTTTATTTATTATTACATATTTTTTATTATTATTTTATTTTTATTAATATATTTATTTATTTTATTTATATTATTGTTATTTATTTATTTATTATTTATTTATTTTATATATAATTTATTATTATAATATATATATATATTATTTTAATTATTTTATATATTTATTAATATATATATTAATTTATAATATATATAATTATATATTATATAATTATATGTTATAATATATAATAATATATTATTTTATTTTATTATTATAAATATTTATTATTTTATTTTTTATTTTATTATATTATTATTATTATTTTATGGCAACAAGAATGATTGACAACTGGGAAATAGAGGGAGAAAATGTGGAGGCCGTGACAGACTTTGTATTTCTAGGTGCAAAGATGACTGTAGATGCAGACTGTGGCCAGGAAATCAGGAGACGCTTCCTTCTTGGGAGGAGAGCAATGTCCAGTCTCGATAAAATAGTCAAGAGTAGAGACATCAGACTGGCAACCAAGATCCATTGCCTAGTCAAAGCCATGGTCTTCCCTGTAGTCACCTACGGATGTGAGAGCTGGACCTTCGGGAAGGCTGAGCGAAGGAAGATCGATGCTTTTGAGCTGTGGTGTTGGAGGAAAGTGCTGAGAGTGCCTTGGACTGTGAGAAGATCCAACCAGTCCATCCTCCAGGAAATAAAGCCCGACTGCTCACTGGAGGGAAGGAGACTAGAGACAAAGTTGAAGTCCTTTGGCCACATCATGAGGAGACAGCAAAGCCTAGAGAAGACAATTATGCTGGGGAAAGTGGAAGCAAAAGGAAGAGGGGCCGACCAAGGGCAAGATGGATGGATGGCATCCTTGAAGTGACTGGACTGACCTTGAAAGAGCTGGGGGTGGTGATGGCCGACAGGGAGCTCTGGCCTGGGCTGGTCCATGAGGTCACGAAGAGTTGGAGGCGACTGAACGAATGAACAACAACAACAACAATACTGAAGGAGTTTTTCGGGGTTAACCTGGCATGATGGGAGTTGTAGTTCATCCCCAACCTTATGCATCTTGCACTAGCAGCTCGGAAACATGCAAATGCGAGTAGATCAGTAGACATGTATCGGATATATGCGTAGACAAAGGTATTTTTATAACACACCTATAAAGAAATGACTAGATTTCCAGCCAAAGTTGTTGGTGAATTTAAAAATTGGGATAAGATCCGGTGCCCTCTAGTGGTCGACAAAATAACAGTTCGAGCGCAGTTTAAAAAGTTTGGTTTCAGAAGGTTCATCTAAGAAAATAAACAGATAGATAAATAGAATATTTTAACTCTGCCATTTAGTATTGTATTTATATCTTACATAGAAAGAAGGAAAGGAAGAAGGAAGGAAGGAGAGACGGGAAGGAAGGAAGGAAGGAAAAAGGAAGGGAGGGAGGGAAAGAAGGGAAGTAAGGAAAAGAAAGAAGGAGGGACAGGAAGGAAGGAAGGAGAAGGAAGGAGGGAAAGAAAGGAGGGGGATGAAGAAAGGAGGGAGGGAAGGAAATGAAAGGAAGGAAAGAAAGAAGTAAGGAAAGAAGGCAAGGAAACAAAGAAGGAAAGAAAGAAGGAAAGAAAGAAGGCAATGAAAGAAGGAAGGAAGGAGGGAAGGAAGGAAGTGAGGGAGGGAGGAAAGAAGGCAAGGAAAGAAAGAAGGATGGAAGGAAAGAAAGAAAGAAGGAAGGAAGGGAAGGAAGGAAGAAAGGAAGAAAAAGCAAAAGGAAAGGGGAAAGAAAATGTAGAAAAAGAAGGAGAAAGGGAGAGGGGGGGGGGGGAGGAAGGAAAAAGGAAAGGAAGGAAGGAAGGAAGGAAGGAAGGGAAGGAAGGAAAGAGAACAAGGGAGGGAGGGAGGGAAGGAAGGAAGGAAGGAAAGAGAGAAAGAAGGAAGGACGGAAGGAAAGGAAAGGAAAGAGGGAGGAAAGGGAAAGAGGAAGGAAAGAAGGAAGGAAGGAGGGACAGGAAGGAAGGAAAAAGGAAGGGAGGGAGGGAAAGAAGGGAAGGTAGGAAAAAAGAAGGAGGGACAGGAAGAGAGGGAGGAAGGAGAAGGAAGGAAGGAGGAAGGAAGGAGGGAAAGAAAGGAGGGAGATGAAGAAAGGAGGGAGGGAAGGAAATGAAGGGGAAGGAAAAGAAGAAAGGGAAAGAAGGAGGAAAGGGAGGGAGGGAGGAAAAGAAGGAAAGGAATAAGGAAGGAGGGACAGGAAGGAAGGAAAAAGGAAGGGAGGGAGGGAAAGAAGGGAAGGTAGGAAAAAAGAAGGAGGGACAGGAAGAGAGGGAGGAAGGAGAGGGGATGAAGAAAAGAGGGAGGGAAGGAAATGAAGAAAGAAAATGGAAAGAAAGGGATAGAAGGAGGAAAAGGAGAGAAGGAGAGGAAAAGAAGGAATTAAGGAAATATGTAGTGAGTTGTTGAGGTGAGTGAAAGAAGGTTAATTAGTAAAAAAGAGAGTTACATTTAATTAGATTAGTAAAGAACGGAGGTGGATGAAGTAAAGTAGGAGTATTAAATGAATGAGAATGAAATGATAAGGTATAGAATGAATGAAATTGTTTAGGGATTAATTAAAGTCATGACAGTGCCTTAATTAAGTAATAGTATCGTGAAGGGAGTAAGGAAAAAGGGAGGTGATGAGGTAAAGTAATGTAAGTAAGGAAAATGAAAGAAGATGTGGAAAAACAAAGGGGAATTGAATACTATTTAAGAAGATTGTGGTGATTAAGAAAATAGGGATGGAATAAAAAAGAAAGAAAAAAAGGAAAAAATGATGAAAGGGAGGGAGGAAGAAAAAGAGAAGGAAGGAATTAATTATTAGTGAGTTACGTGAAGTTAATTAGTAAAAATTAAGGAGTATGGAAAAAAGGATTGTTGAGTATGAAGAAATTAGGTTATTGAAGGAAGGAGGGAAAGGAGAGAAGAGGGAGGAAGGAAAGAAGGAAAGAGAAAAGGGAAGGAGAAAGAAGGGAAGGGAGGGAGAGAAGGAAGGTCCTTCATTCAAGCACGGTGGACCTTCCTCGCCTCCTCCTCCTTCTCCTCCTCCTCCTCCTCCCCTTCTTCCTTGCGTGTAGCACTCCGTTGCTGCTGCTGCTGGCGCTTTCCAACAGGGAAAGGAGGAGGAGACTGCTCTCCTGACATAGGAGGGGAAGAGAAGGGGCTGCATGCGGCAAGCCTCCACCTCCACTCCACTCGCTTGTGTGTGTGGCCGTGCACGTCCTTTCTGCTTTTGGTTTTTGTTGGGTTTTTTGAGTGGAGAACATACATTGGGTTGTTAGGGACATAGTGTCCAAATTTGGTGTCAATTACCCCAGTGGTTTCTGAGTTCTGTGAATAGCACAAACGAACATTACATTTTTATTTATATAGATTGTTTTGCCAAGTCCCAAGTAACACAGCCGCCGTCTCCTGAGACTGGTTTGATGCCTCCTTCACGTTTGCTTCTCCCTCTCCTTCCCTGCAGGAGAACTACCAGTCTGTTTACAACTGGCAGTACATTCACTGCCTGTATTTCTGGTGCCGGGTCCTGAGCACGCTCTATCCCAGCGAAGTCATGGAGCCTCTCATTTACCCTTTGACGCAAGTCATTGTTGGCTGTATTAAGTAAGTAGCTGGGGATTCTGGTTTCTATTGTGCGCCCCAGGTGTTATGAATGACAACTCCCATCTTTTTTGCCTATCTGCCTTGTGTATTTATTTATTTATTTATTTTATTTACAGCATTTCTATTCCACCCTTCTCACCCCGCAGGGGACTCAGGGCGGATTACAGTGTACACATATATGGCAAACATTCAATGCCAATTTTTGACATACAAACATATACAGACATACACGGAGGCTATTTAACTTTTTCTGGCCGCCAGGGGAGCTGTCGCTTTCATCATCCATCTGCGACGCTGATGAAGCACTTCCGCATTCCCCGCATGCTTCCCCACTGGAATGCTTTGCTGGAGTCTTCTTTATGGCCTCATAAATCAGTTAATTTAGCCTCCCCACACTTTAAGTTGGTACCTAATTTTCCTACTTGACAGATGCAACTGTCTTTCCGGTTGCAAAGGTCGACAACAGGCTACACAATCGGTTGGAAACCCACTCCAACCTGGGCTGGCTTCGAACTCATGACCTTGTGTACTGGGGATAATAGCAGCTCAACAGTACTTGTGGGTTTGAGGTTGGAGTAAGGCTAAAGGACAAAGGACAATTTAATGCCAGAAATCATATTCCACAAGATCGAAACCTACTATAAAGGGGAGGGAACTTTATTTTTGGGAAATAAAAATAGTCCCAGCGCTTGCCACCAATGATAACGAAGAGGGTTATTTTAATTGATAATTAATTAGAGAGAGATGCAGACTCTCAAACGATCTTCTGGTATTTGAATGCCAAAAAAGCTGGCACTTTCTTCCTGGCCGAAAAAACCATTTTTTGAAAGCACACTGGCGCACACAACTTAGTGTTGATAAGCCCTTGGCTTGTTTGAGATAACTTGTGAAGGAGTGTGATTGTAATAGCCCTCAGACTTGTGTTTCTGAGGTACCCTTTAAAGTTATTTCTTTAAAAACATACGCTGCCACCATTAAATTCTTGAACATTGCTTAAAGTTGCTGCTTTTCAACCTTTAAGCACAGAGGCACACTTGAGTCAGATGTGATGAACCAGGAACAATAAAGTTTATTTACAAGAACAGGAACAATGCAGGTACTAGCTTGGCTGTTGCAGAGATTTGAAAGCATCATGGTTACTTAAACTGTTCTGACTTTGTTACTCAAGAAACTCTTCTCTCTCCCTCCAAAAACAAGAATCCTGAGAGGATAGTTTCTCTGACAGAAATTCTTCAGCAGTTGTTGGTGGGAAGTTTGTGCCAATTCTGTTGTTGGTGGGGTTCAGTATGCTCCCTGATTGTAGGTGAACTATAAATCCCAGTAACTACAACTCCCAAATGTCAAGGACTATTTCCCCCAAACTCCACCTGTGTTCACATTTGGGCATATTGTGTATTTGTGCCAAGTTTGGTCCAGATCCATCATTATTTGAGTTCACAGTGCTCTCTGGATGTAGGTGAACTACAACTCCAAAACTCAAGGTTAATACCCACCAAACCCTTCTAGTGTTTTCTGTTGGTCAGGGGAGTTCTGTGTACCAAGTTTGGTTCAATTCCATCGTTGGTGGAGATCAGAATGCTCTTTGAGTGTAGGTGAACTATAAATCCTAGCAAATACAACTCCCAAACGTCAAGGTCAATTCCCACCAAACCCTTCCAGTATTTTCTGTTCGTCATGGGAGTTCTGTGTGCCAAGTTTGGTTCAATTCCATCGTTGGTGGTGATCAGAATGCTCTTTGATTATAGGTGAACTATAAATCCCAGCAACTACAACTCCAAAACTCAATGTCAATACCCACCAAACACTTTAAATATTTCTGTTGGTCGTGGGAGTTCTGAGTGCCCAATTGGGTTCAATTCCTTCGTTGGTGGAGTTCAGAATGCTCTTTGATTGTAGGTGAACTATAAATCCCAGCAACTACAACTCCCAAATGACAAAATCATAATTTTGAGTGATGGTCACTCCTTGTGTTGTGAGACGTTTTGTTGCCAAATTTGGTGTGATTTCGTTCATTGATTCTTTTATTTTTAAGATACTAATGACGCACAGAACATTTTTATATATATAGGTTATTATATTAGGAGCATTGTATTGTATTACATTATAATATTATAGATATTATATAATATTATATAAATAGCGTAACATCCGAAAACAAATGATGTGCTTTTTGGGCATCTCCAGGTACTCAAACTAGGAAGTAATAAATTGGAAATCGCCCGTAACACTGTACCCGGCACAATGAAGAAATGCTATTGGTTTGCAGAGCTTTGCAAAACAAGAGGGCGAGGGGAAACCAAACACCTTCCATGCTCAGAGCCTTGCGAAAACAGCTCCGGCTTACATCCCACGCATGATCTCCCCTTTCCGGGAGACCTGCTGAGCTCACCTTTCCGGGAGGCCTGATTTATCTGCCTAGACAGGTGGAAAACGGCCTCGGCTCCTCCACGGGACAATTAAAAGCCCCCGCTTAAGTGACGGAAAGGCATGGGGAGGGATAGATTGAAGACGAGGAGGGGGAGAGGAAGAGACGGGGAGCGCTGGAAACCACGTACGCCTGTTTATCTTCGCCAACCCTCAGAGGGGCAAAGCGGGGCGGCCTCGGCAAAGTGGGGAGGCCCACAATCTGGACACGGCGCTAACAGGATTTCAGGAGATTGCTGGAGTCGTTGCTGCACGCCCATTAGCCGCCGACGGCTTCGAGCCGCTGTTGCACACGCAGGAATGCGTATGTGTGTGTGTTTCGAAAACAACAACAACTCCAGAAGTTTTCGTACAGGAGAAGAACACCAGCCAAGTTAACTACCGTACTTCTTCAATTTTGAGACGTCATCGATTGTAGGGAGCACCCCAATGACAGTACCCACAACAACAATACGTAAGATACGCCTGCAACGAGCACCCCAATGACACTGCCAACAACAACAATGATATGTAAGATATGCCTGCAATGAGCACCCCAATGACAGTGCCAACAACAACAACATGTTAGATTTGCCTGCAATGAGCACCCTAATGACAGTTCCAACAACAACAACAATACGTAAGATACACCTGCGATGAGCATCTCAATAACAGTGCCAACAACATCAACAATACGTAAGATACGCCTGCAATGAGCACCCCAGTGACAGCGCCAACAACAACAATACGTAAGATACGCCTGCAATGAGCACCCCAGTGACAGTGCCAACAACAACAACAACATGTCAGATATGCCTGCAATGAGCACCCCAATGACAGTGCCAACAACAACAACAATACGTAAGATACGCCTGCGATGAGTTGCCATCAATTGTAGGAGCACCCCAGTGACAGTGACAACAACAACAATACGTAAGATACGCCTGTGATGAGACGCCATCAATTGTAGGAGCACCCCAGTGACAGTACCCACAACAACAACAATAGGTAAAATACACCTGCAATGAGACGCCATCAATTGTAGGAGCACCCCAGTGACAGTACCCACAACAACAACAATAGGTAAAATACGCCTGCAATGAGACGCCATCAATTGTAGGAGCACCCCAGTGACAGTGAGCACCCCAATGACAGTGCCAACAACAACAACAATAGGTAAAATACGCCTGCAATGAGACGCCATCAATTGTAGGAGCACCCCAGTGACAGTGACAACAACAATACGTAAGATACGCCTGTGATGAGACGCCATCAATTGTAGGAGCACCCCAGTGACAGTACCCACAACAACAACAATAGGTAAAATACACCTGCAATGAGACGCCATCAATTGTAGGAGCACCCCAGTGACAGTGCCAACAACAATAATAGGTAAGATACACCTGTGATGAGACACCATCAATTGTAGAAAGCAGCCCGGTGACAGTGTCAACAACAACAACAACAATACATAACATACGCCTGCGATGAGGCACCATCAGTTGTAGGGAGCACCCCAATGACAGTACCCACAACAACAACAATAGGTAAAATACACCTGCAATGAGACGCCATCAATTGTAGGAGTACCCCAGTGACAGTACCCACAACAACAACAATTGGTAAAATACGCCTGCAATGAGACGCCATCAATTGTAGGAGCACCCCAGTGACAGTGACAACAACAATACGTAAGATACGCCTGTGATGAGACGCCATCAATTGTAGGAGCACCCCAGTGACAGTGACAACAACAACAATAGGTAAGATATGCCTGCGATGAGACGCCGTCAATTGTACGGAGCACCCCAATGACAGTGCCAACAACAACAACAATACGTAAGATACGCCTGCAATGAGCACCCCAGTGACAGTGCGAACAACAACAACAACATGTCAGATATGCCTGCAATGAGCACCCCAATGACAGTGCCAACAACAACAACAATACGTAAGATATGCCTGCGATGAGTTGCCATCAATTGTAGGAGCACCCCAGTGACAGTGACAACAACAACAATACGTAAGATACGCCTGTGATGAGACGCCATCAATTGTAGGAGCACCCCAGTGACAGTACCCACAACAACAACAATAGGTAAAATACGCCTGCAATGAGACGCCATCAATTGTAGGAGCACCCCAGTGACAGTGACAACAACAATACGTAAGATACACCTGTGATGAGACGCCATCAATTGTAGGAGCACCCCAGTGACAGTACCCACAACAACAACAATAGGTAAAGATATGCCTGCGATGAGACGCCGTCAATTGTACGGAGCACCCCAATGACAGTGCCAACAACAACAACAATACGTAAGATACGCCTGCAATGAGCACCCCAGTGACAGTGCGAACAACAACAACAACATGTCAGATATGCCTGCAATGAGCACCCCAATGACAGTGCCAACAACAACAACAATACGTAAGATATGCCTGCGATGAGTTGCCATCAATTGTAGGAGCACCCCAGTGACAGTGACAACAACAACAATACGTAAGATACGCCTGTGATGAGACGCCATCAATTGTAGGAGCACCCCAGTGACAGTACCCACAACAACAACAATAGGTAAAATACACCTGCAATG